AATCTGTCCCATAATTAATGTAATATTTCTTACATTTCTTTATATTCAGCTCTGGATGTCACCCAGCTTGCCTTAAGAAAAAAAATGATGAGTGAATTATATTTCTGCTTGGCCTTAAAACCATAAAGGTCAGTAAATAATATCTGAGAATAATCTATTTTACAGATTTGTTGTAAGGGCAAAAATTTGATAACTCTACATATTCTATTCATATGCCTAATTTTCAGATTCTTTTGTCCTGTCAGGGAAGCCAGGCAATACAAAATGAAAAGCCTGAAAACAGAAAACCTGGGATACATTTTACAGCGTTTGTTAACATCCAGTGAAGAGATGAGCAAAGATATAGAATCAGAAAAACCTAAGTAATTTACAGAACATAGAAAATATATATTTGGTCTTGGGTCTGCATCAAAATGAGAAAAAAGGCTTAAACTCATTTCTCAACTGAGCATTGGACAAGTCTACCAATTTCTGGATAGGCACCTTATAGCAATATGAAATAATTCATGGCACCTACAGTACCTCCAAGATGGTAAGTATTTTTGTCTGAAAACCTGTTACAATCACATTGAAATATAATCACTTCCTAAGTTTGAAGACCTAGTTTTCATTGCCAATTTTTTTAAAAAGGTTAGAATAAAAGGGCTCCTCTGTTCCTTGGCACGACTATTGTTTTAAATTTAGATGACTTAAGGATCGGATGCCTCATTTAAGACGTAACAGAAATCTATATTAAAGACATCTCCACAATCATTACATTCTCAATGGTCAATCTCGACAAAGTCTATTCTACGACTGTGTCCATTCCATGCTATTTTCCTTGCTCCATAATCCTCTTTGCTACCTTCCTGTGAAAGAGACATTCTTTTTTTTTGTTCTTTAGAAAATATGCAGTATCAAACATACTGGGCCTGTTAGCCTATCTGAATATCAGCCTGTCTGAATACCTATTTCAAATTTAATACAAAGGCTCCTTCTATCATATTCTGCTATTTTACTTTATCTGGGGTCATGAGTATGACTACACTGTGCTCTTAAGTTTTAATAGCATGGGACAGAGCTTGCTAGTTATTACTGACTAGCAAATGGGCAGATGTACATCGTTCTACCTTTTTTTTTTTTAATAGACAAGTTTTCAACGAATGCACTTTATATCTGTTTCTTGAAATATGTTAGATTCAGTCTCTCTTTGATAAGGCAACTAAAGTCTTCTACACAATGATGTCATAAACCCTGCCCACTCTTCCTAGCCATTCTCTCAGAGCCTGACGAACCCGAATATCTGTCACATGGCAAGTCAATTGACTAATGCAGGGAAATACTGCTGGTTGAAGGGCGATGAAGATCTGGTCTGGTAAGGATTGAATCTGATTAAGAACTGTCAGAACCATGTTGGTCCATGCCTAAAACAATGCAAAGAGAGAGAGAAAAAGGGAACAAATAAATCTATAAATTAGGACAGTACGAAAAAACAAATGGAGGAACATAGATCAGTAGGGAAAATAGGAAGGACACCTTTAGAAAAAAATGCAGTATTAATGTTAAGTGGGAACATAAGGCAGTTCGGTATGAAAAGTATTTTACCAGGGTTGAGTAATAGGGCTATTAGTGTAAACTTCCCAAGAAAGGAGAATAATCTCTTTAGATGAGGGACATTTAGCGACCATTTTCTATGTTCTGGTACCATATCTAGTTGATCCAGGCCAAAATGCATAAACATGCTAATATGACTAACATGCCAGAAATGAAAAACTAAAAGGAAACAACTATTGCAATGTGCTCTACATGGAGTTGATCTTGAAGATTCAACTGGTCTAGAATGCAGCAGCACAAACAGTGATGGGTGTGCCACATTTGTGTCTCCTCTGCTTCTTGAGCTGCACTGATTACTGGTATACTTCTCAATACAATGCAAGGTGATGGTTATGACCCATAAAACTCTACTTACTTGAGGAATCATCTATATCCTGTGGTATCATGCCAACCTGTTTGATCCAGCATGGCTGGTATGCTCTGGGTTTCTTCAATTAAGCACCATCTATTGGGATCTGAAACCATGCCTTCTGTTGTGATACCTGCTCTCTGGAATGAAATCCTTCCTCAAAATCTGTGTGACTCCCAATCTGATGGCATTCTGGAAACCCTTAAATATCTGGCTATTCTCCCAGGCCATGATTTAGGGTGGTTCAGGCCCTGCCAAATTGTGCATAGGTGTGAATAGCTGGATCTGCTGTTGGTTCTTGTTTCTTTCCTTTATCTTTTCATATTTCTTAAGTTCAATTTTTATTCTGTTGGTTTTATTGTACACCACCCAGAGTTGATTTGGAGTCAGCTGGTGACTGCTTTGAATGAATTAAACTAAACTGAATAAAAAAATACAGGATATTAACTTATTCTGGGAAGTTCACAAGGATCCTGTTGACATCTGAATTAATCACAGAAAATTCTGAACTACAGAAGAAACTTAAGATGATTGTCAGAGTGTTCATGTGGAGGTACGTTAGACTAAGGCACTTTTGCCAAGAAGCTGTATGTATACACTTTATAGGTAGGTATCTTGTATATCAGAACATTTTGCTAAAAATGCTATATGCTTAAGACTCATTGTGTAGACACAAGCATGTCATATTTTATATAATAGTAGGCTTCTGTTTAAAAACCAATTTATTTTATATAATCCTAGGTTTGTATTTAAAACCCTCTGGAATGACCTACCCCCCGACCTACGTACAATTGCGGACCTGCGCCTTTTTCGCCGAGCCCTGAAGGCCCATCTATTCCGTGCGGCCGGCCTGGCGTAGTTTGATTATGTTTCAGTGGGGGTTTTTGTATGGGTGTGTTTTTAGAACAGGCCTGTTATTTAATTCAATTTTAGAACAGAAACTATTTATTTATTATCGTGGTTTTTAGTATCGCCTGTTCACCGCCCTGA